CCACCAGCCCCAGACGATGGTGGCTTCTCCAGGGAGGCGCCTGGCTCTCAGGCCAGGCAGGGATGCTGCATAGCAAAGCACTGGCCAGCCTGGCCCAGCCCGGGGGTGGACGATGGCCCGGGAAGGGGGCAGTGGGGGCAGCGTGCCCAGCACAGCCTGCAGATGGGGGCCTGTGCCTGGTGCTGCCGGGAATGGCCTCCTGGGGATGACAGACAGCTCTTCACTCCGGCAGCGGCAAGACGGACAGATGCAGCGGTTCATCCGGGAGGTGAACACCACCAACCGGGCGTGCGTGCTGTGGGACTTGGCGGAGGATGCTGATTACATCATCCAGGTGCAGAGCATCGGCCTGTACGGGGAGAGCCAGGCCAGTAAGCGTGTCCACTTCAGGACACTGAAGGAGACCGACCGCCTCCCTTCCAACAGCTCCAACCAAGGTGAGGCAGCTCCTTCCACCTCTCCCACGTGCCGATGGTGGGACTGGCGCTGGAGGTCTCCATAGCACACGGGCAGGGATCCAGCAGCCAGTGAGGAAGGTGCTGCCCTGGGCAGCAGGCTGCTTGGGACACACAGGGTCATAATGGGTAGCAGAGTTGTACAGGCTGCTGTTGTGTCCACCATGGCCAGGATAATGTCCTCAAGCCCTGGTTTACAGCCCTCCTGTCCCGGGTATTGGCACCCTATTCAGCTAAGCAGGCTGTGGCCAGGACAACTGCTGTAGCCTGGTCAGCTGCAGCCCGTAGGTAGCACATATTTAACAGGCCATCAGCCTGCAAGCTACCAAAGGACAAATGACAGAGCCCCACAACCTCCTTTCCTACTCATGTACTCATCCGTGGTGTGCTGTCTTGCCTTGGGGTTGCCTACATGCTGGTCCGTGAGAGATGATCCAAGAATCCAAGAGAGATGATGGCCAGAGGGCATCCACTGGGCACAGGAGTCTGTCTCCAGCACTAGCCATCAGAGGGGAACTCGAGAAGAGTGTAACAGGTCAAGCAGATGGCTGACTTTCCTCAAAACTTTTGTGTTTGACTTAGGGCCTTCCTAACTTGCCCTGGTCCCTACGTAGGGAGTCAGCTCAGTGATGAAAGCCACAGGCTGCATGTCATCTCCCCAGCCTAGATGTCATCCCCCACCCATCCTTTTTTGGAGGAAGTGGGCCTCTTTCCTCATTGCTGAGGTTGGAAGGGACCTTTAAGATCATCAAGTCCAACCATCAACTTACCCTGACAAAACCACCTCTAAACCATGTCCCGAAGCACCACATCTACCCTTTTCTTAAACAGCTCCAGGGATGGAGAATCCACTAACTCCCTGCGCAGCCTCTAACCCTTTCAGTGAAAAAAAATTTTCCTAATATCTAATCTAAACCTCCCCTGACAGAACTTGAACCCATTTCCTCTCATCCTATCACTTGTCACCAGGGAGAAGAGGTCAGCCCCCACCTCTTTACAACCCCCGTTCAGGTAGTTGTAGAGGGTGATAAGGTCTCCCCTCAGCCTCCTTTCTCCAGGCTGGACACCCCCAGCTCCCTCAGTCATTCCTCGTAAGACTTGTCCTCCAGACCCCTCACCAGCTTTGTAGCCCTTCTCTGGACACGCTCCAACACCTCAATGTCCTTCTTGTAGTGAGGTGCCCAAAACTGAACACAGCACTTGAGGTGGGGCCTCACCAGTGCCGAGTACAGGGGGATGATCATTTCCCTAGTCCTGGAACTCCTGGAGCTCCTTCTCAGATCCTTGAGAGTTGCTGGTCCTGAAGTAGGTTCTGGTGGGAGGGTATCTGCTGCCAGCCTTGCCTGGGTTCTCTTCTCTGCAGGTGACATCACCATGGAAGGGCTGGACAAAGACAGGCAGCTGCAGACAGGCGAGATTATCATCATTGTGGCTGTCCTGCTCATGTGGGCAGGTGAGTGCCACAAGCAACATTCCAGCAGGCTGGGGCAGAGGTGCAGTCCAGGGTCCACAAAGGGGATGGGTCTCTAGAGGTGTATTGGTATGGGTCCAGCATCCTTTCCAGTAAGTCTGATGAGTCTCTGTAGAGCTTGAGCCAGTGGGGTAAAAGGAGCAACCACAGCCACTGCTCAGCAGTGGTGGCCTGGAGCATGTGGGCTGGCTGGCCTGACTGCCGTGCTGGAAGAGCAGGGGACAATGTGGGACCCAAGCAGTAGAGAATTACAGGGTGGGAGCATCCCAGCTGACATGAACTGTCCTGTAGCTTGGGCCTTAGCTAGCTTGTCTGGCATCTGACAGCATCCCTGCGTGGGCTGGTAGTGGCTGTGCCTTAATTGGCTAAAGCTGTAAGATGGGCAATTTGCTCCTCCACAGCACCCAGTGCTCAGGCAAACAGCAGGCTGCCCTGGGGGCGAGGAAGCCTAGGAGATAAGTCAGCTTCTGCCAGGTTACATGCAGCTGCTGTGAATGGGAAGTCATTTGTCCCCTGCACCCTTCCCAGTAAATGTGGATTTTCTAGTGGCATCTTGCAGGAATCTCTCCTTGTCCTGGCCTTGAACACTTTCCTAGTGCACTGGAAGAAAATAGGAGATGGCTGCTGCTAGCTTACGCCTCGTGCAGGTTGGTGTGTCAGAGTGCCAGCAGGGAGAAAGTGGGTCCAGTCTGCGGGTGTCTGTGGTAACACACTGTGGTTTGAATGGGTCCAACACACCTAATGATTACAGCTCAAAGCATTGCTCCAGAGTCCTGCGTCCAGGGTCCCGAGGTGTGGGACATGTGCTGCATGAGATGGGTGCTGTAAAACCCTGACAGAGTGACTGATCCCACGGCCAGTTTGCAAGGCAGGAGAAAGCCAAGGGCTGGCTTTTGTGGGTGTCACAAGCACTGAGTTAATAACTTCAGTTCCTTGCTGAAACCCACTCAGCTGCTCACTGACCTCGAGGGCAGTCCCGCTCAGAGTTTCTCAACATCTGCCTTTGGCCTCAGAGCCCTAAGCCATAGGTGCCGAGCACTGAGCGTGTGCCCTGATGGCTTTAGCCGCATCTGTGCCTCATCGGCCCAAGGAGACGCAGAGGTGCCTGGGGTGGTCCAGGCTGACGCAGGTGGAGGGTGTGGGTGACCATCACAGCAGGGTGCCCTGGGGGTAACTGCTGTGCAGCTGGGATGCTGTGGGGAGGGGAGGCAGGAGGCAGCCGGTGTAAGAGAGTCCTTCATCCTCTGTGTTTCGGCAGCGGTGATCGCCCTCTTCTGCAGACAGTATGACATCATCAAGGACAACGACTCCAACAACAACAAGGAAAAGACAAAGCCGTCCTCAGAGCACAGCACGCCAGAGCGACCGAGTGGAGGGCTGCTGCGGAGCAAGGTGAGCAGGGAGGGCTTGCAGGAGGGATGGCATGTGACGTCTGCTGTGGTGTGCTGTCTGGACAGGTTCTGGCTTTCTGCAGAAACAGAAATACCCCAGCTCATGCTCTCATCCTGAAAACTGAAGGGTTTTGGGGTACAGTGAGCCGTGGTCTCTCTGAGGCAGTGTGTACGCCCCATGGGTGATTTCAGGAGAAACACCAGAAGAGGCGGCAGGATATATCAGCTGGGATGGCTCCCACATTGCAGGGTGGTACCTGTCCTCACTGTAACAGCCCCTTCCCCATACCCCTCCAAGGCTGCACCTCTTCTGCATCGCATGGACCGGTCTAGTTCCTGCCAGTTCAGGCAGGAGGCAGACAAGCCGGGCAGCTGCTGTTATGGTTGCTGCACTGGTCTATTGCTACCCGCTTTCTGCCTTCACTGAGTCCTGTTCCAGGCCATCACCACACAAGTTGTTCGTAGGAAGGACCCCAGAGCCCCTTCCCCACCCTAACGGAGGCAGTGTGCCGCGCTATGGATGGGGAGGGAGCAGTACTTTCCTCTGGCTGTTCCCCCAGCACCTGGCACTTCTCCCTTTGTTACTTGACAAAGAGTGATTTATAACCCTGATGTGTGTGCTCTAACGGGACCTTGCATTAGGTTTTCCCTTGTGTCTCACGTGCCTCCTCTGTCGATGGTGGGACCTCTACTCTCTGCGTTGCCTCACTGCCCCTCTGCTTCCACATCTTGGTTTCCAGTGGATGTCAGGAGCAGAAAATTCCTGTTTGGATTTCAGGGCCCCAGTTCTCCTCCAGATTTTCCAGCTTCTGGATTATGCCTTGCCAAAAAGATCCCTCCTCTTGGATCCCTGCTCCAAACTGACCCTGCTCATAGAGGGCTGCCAAGGCAGGTGCAAAGGCATGTTCCTGCTGCTCACAAAGTTCACCTGTACGGGGCTGATGCACCTCAGTTTGTCTTTTTGCATTCACCATACTCTTGGCATCCTTGCAGGTCACAACACTACAAGTTTATTCTTGCAGTCCCTAATTACACACCTGGGAACAAGGTATAGAAAGAAAAAGCTCTTCATTTGCTTCCCTTCCTGGCTTCAGGGCCAAGCTGCTGTAAAGTAGTAGACAACGGTGCAGCTCTTGATCTGAGTTATAAAGTGTGGTCTTGGGGACACTCACCTCCTGCACCCTGCTTTGGCATGAAAGGGCTGAGCTACCGAACACATGTGCAGCAACCAGGACCCCTTCCTTTCCCAGCACCTTCTCTGAATTCACATATCTGCTGTGCTTTTCAAAGAGCACATTCCTTTTAGTGTAAAGGGAAATGCCTGCTTGTGCTTGCAACAGTTTTTGAGAAAAATCTGCCTTGCCTCCTGCAGGCTTTAGTTCCCTTGGCACATGCCAGAAGTGTCATGAGGGGCACAGCAGTGAGATGTGCTTGGCACTCAGCAGACCTCATCTGTCCCTCCACGCCAGTCATCCCATGCTTTGTGGATTCTTTGCCCCATGGCAGATGTCCTCCAACTCTCTCACATTTTCTGCTCTGACCCTGCACCTGCCTCCTGTCCAAGGGCATCAGGTGTAGCATGGCTACCTCTAGGGACCAGATAGAGGGCACCAGACACTGCAAGCCCTGGAGGCTGAAGAGTGTGGGGCCGGGGGGGGCTGGTTCACCCAGTACTGGGGAGCAGCAGTGGGCAGAAAGGGTTCCTGGGGAGGCACGTGCATGGTTGAAGGGAGGCACCTGGAGGGAGGCACCGGGCGATGCAGCTGAGCTACCCAAACCTTTCTGCCAGGAGAGCATATCACTGCCAAAGGCCGGGGTTTCATCGCTGTCTCCCTTGGTCCCCTGAGGGAGATGCTGGAGCCGGGTCTGTGCTGCAGCTCTCCCACAGGTCGGCTCAGGGAGGAGGGCGCAGCAGCAGAGAGCTCTGCTGGCCATAGTGCCGGCCGTGGGGGGTGTCTCTGCATCCCAGGGGCTCAGCAAAGCCGGGCTTTAATGCAGACCTTTCTCTCATAGAAGAAGTCTCCCTCGGTCAATATAATCGAGGTGTAAGTGCAGCACCACTTCTGCGTCTGGGGTGCTGGGCGTCCTGCCAGAGCCAAAGCAGGCCTTGGAAGAAGAGGCAGCACCAGGCGCCCAGCCTGGAACTCTGCATGCGAAGATCCGTCTATCAGAACTTACGCTTTCCCGAGGGCGCCTGTCCAGGGATGTGCATGGAGCCGGCTCCCAGCCGTGCATGCAGTGCGCGGCCCTGCCCGTCCCGCATGCCTGGCCCCGCTGCCCTGCCGCTGCGCAGCGCGGAGCCGAGGAAGGGTGTGGGGCCACACCACCAGCCCAGGGGGGCAAGCCCAGGGGAGCAGAAGGGCCAGTGCGCTGCCTTGAGGGGAGGCGACGTCCCTGTGCACAGCTCGTCCAAAGGCATGGGTGCAACCGTGTGGTACCAGACACCTGCCTGGCGGGCAGCCGGGAGCAGACCTTGCTCTCAGACGTGGTGTCTGGGCTCAGAGGGCTGCCTGCAGGGGGCAGGAGCTGCTCCCCTCTTGGCCCTGAGACTGAGGGGATGGGGCAGTGCAGGCATTTGCCCCAGCGCTGCCGGGGAGGTTGTGACCAGGAGGCGGGAGGGTTTGTCTGTGGGGCTGGGCCCAGCAAGCACAGCTGAGGAGTGGAACCCTGCTGGAGAACGGGGCTCCACTGCACCCCGTCATCGCCTTGCAGGGGCTTCAAGGTCTCTCCCTGCTGTGGGGGACCAAGACACAAACGAGCGCAAGGAGCTGGTGCTGCCACAGTGGCTGGCCGCCTGCAGAGTGCACAGCCAGGGCAGGGAGTGCCAGCAGAAGCCATTCTGTGGGGTGGTGTGGGCCCCGCAGAGCTGTGGGAGCGGGCAGTGCCAGGGCATGGCTGTGGCATTGCCATTTCCCTGGAAGGGCTCAATCCTGACACGTTCAAGCTGTTTGCGGGGGGCTGCTGAGCGCCTGCAAGCAGTGCAATGCCTGTGCTGCCTGGAGGAGAAAATGTGGTGATGCCCAGCAAGGTCTCAGCAGGATGCATGCTGCAGAGCTCATCACCACTCTGGGGACAATCCTAGCATCAACGGTGTCACGTCCTGCTCCTGGCTCCTTCTGTCTTGCGCGGGTATGGTCACTGCTGATGCTCCTGCTCCTGGAGCTGGACCAGGTTGGCTGATACGACACAGACCCATTGGAAAGGGCTGGCACCAAATGCCCGGAGCTGCCGGACCGTTGGCTCGCTGTTACCTGCCCCGTCTACCTGCTTGTGCGAGGCCAACATGAACCATCGACTGCCCTGGGGCTGGTGAAGAGGTGATGTCCAGTCTGTGCTTGTTTGCTCCCCAGAGCCTGCAGGCAGAAGTCTGTCACTGGGTATCTGCACTGCTCTGTGGCCAAGGCCAGGCCTGGCATGCCCTCCTGCTGGCAGTAGGAGGGAACAGAGTGGTATGAGGAGGCTCTCTGCTGCAGAGGTGGCCGCTGGTGCCCTGGCTGCTGCTCTTCCTCCACGCTCGGCTCTGCGGCCTGTCACTGAGCTGGGGTGCTGGCTCTGCAGCCCTGGACTCAAGCATCACAGGATCCAGCGTCTTCCAGGAATACACCTTCCAGTAAAGCACTTTCAGGACTCTTCCTTCCAGGTGCTGTTCAGCTGCTGCTGCAGGACTAGGTGGGGAAGGGACAGGATAAGCGACTCCCTGTGGCAGGGTCTTTTCAATAAAAGCATCCTGGCTCAAAGGCAGCATTGTCCCTGCAGAGTTGCAGGTCTGTGTGTGTGTGCACGCGCGCGGGTGTACCTGTACCAGCACTTCTTGAAATTGTGTATGTGGCCCTTAGAAGGAGACCTGTTCCTGCATGTTGTACAAGAGCTGCAGGTCCTCTGAGGTCATCTTGCACACCTCTCTGGCCCTCAATGGAGTGCTGGTGCTGTGTGTTGACTCATGTCAGTCTGACCTCGGTGCCTGGGAAGGATATGGAGCAGATCATCCTGAGTGCCATCACACAGCACGTGCAGGACAACCAGGCAATCAGACCCAGTCAGCATGGGTTTATGGAAGGTAGGTCTTGCTTGACAACCTTGATCTCCTTCTATGACAAGGTGGCCCTCTTAGTGGATGAGGGAGAGGCTGTGGATGTTGTCTACCGGGACTTCAGTAAAGCTTTTGATACCATTTCCCACAGCATTCTCCTGGAGAAACTGGCTGCTCATGGCTCAGATGGGCATACGCTTGGCTGGGTGAAAAAACTGGCTGCGTGGCTGGGCCCAAAGCGTTGTGGTGAAAGGAGCTCGGTCCGGTTGGGGTCCGGTCACAAGTGGTGTTCCCCGGGGCTCATTGTTGGGGCTGGTTCTCTTTAATGTCTTTATCAACAACCTGGAGGAGGTGGTGGAGTGCACCCTCAGTAAGTTCGTAGAGGACACCAAGTTGGGCAGGAGCGTAGATCTGCTTGGGGGTAGGAGGGCTCTACAGAGGGACCTGGCCAGGCTGAATCAATGGGCTGAGTCCAATGGTGTGAGGTTCAACAGGGCCAAGGGCCGGATCCTGCTTTTGGGTCACACCAACCCCATGGACGCTGCAGGCTTGGGGCAGAGTGGCTGGAAAGCTGCCTGGTGGAGAAGGCCCTGGGGGTGTTGGTCGACAGTGGCTGAACATGAGCCCACAGTGTGCCCAGGGGGCCAAGAAGGCCAACGGCATCCTGGGCTGTGTCAGGAACAGTGTGGCCAGCAGGACTGGGGCAGTGATCGTTCCCCTGTACTCGGCACTGGTGAGGTCCCACCTCGAGTGCTGTGTTCAGTTTTGGGCCCCTCAGGGGCCGAGGGCCCTGGGGGGGTTCAGCCTGGAGAAGAGGAGGCCGAGGGGAGACCTTCTCGCTCTCTACAGCTCCCTGAAAGGAGGGGGCAGCGAGGGGGGGTCGGTCTCTGCTCCCAAGGAACAGGTGATGGGACAAGAGGAAATAGCCTCAAGTTGCACCAGGGGAGGTTTAGGATGGATATTAGGAAAAATGTCTTCACAGAGAGGGTTGTCCAGCACTGGCACAGGCTGCCCAGGGCAGTGGTGGCGTTGCCATCTCTGGGGGTGTTTAAAAGAGGGGTAGATGTGGTGCCGAGGGACATGGGTTCGTGGTGGGCTTGGCAGTGTTGGGTTGATGGCTGGACTCCATGATCTTAAAGGTCTCTTCTAACCAAAACAATTCTATGGTTCTCTGTTACGCTGCTGGACAAGCTGCAGTTACAGACTGGCCCACTGAGCATGGTTTTCCCTGGACAAATAAAACAGTCTGCAGAGAGCAGGGACACCCTGGCAATGGGGCCAGGATGGAGGATGGGGCCAGATCCCAGCACACTGCTGGGACTGAGTGGTCTGTGCTGCTCCCTGGTTGGGTGAGGAGAGGGGTACCAGAGGAGCAAAAGCACCGTGGTGGGGTCCCAGTGCTGTTGTGCTGTAACTCGGGCTGCAGGGAGTGTGGCCACAGCTCCAGTGAGACAAACCACCTTGTTTTGCCAGGTAACTTTTGGTTTTTTAGGGAGGTATATTAAAAAAAATGGGGCTATCAGGGAAATACAAGAGTTTTTTAAAAACTCCAGTGCCCTTTAAAATGTTAAGAGGTGCTATCCTGGAGGGTTAGAGCAAACATATGCCCACTATCATGAGTTCTTTAACCAGACCAGAGGTGCACATGAAGAAACAAGAGCATGACTGTCCAGCAGAGTGGAGGAGCTGCGGGACGCACCAAAAAAAAGTATGTCAAAATGCACTGGTTGGGGCCAAATAAAAAAGAGAACAAAAATCTGTCACATTATATGTTAGATCAGGGCATGGTGTTGAGACAAAAAAGACACCCCACTGCCCCCCCCCCC